ATTTTTTTTTTAAACCATGTCCATGCTAGTGATGGAAAAGCCAAGCGACCAAAGTTTCAATTAGAAGGCTTTCTTGTACCGAGTTGTGGTGTCAAACCTCCCTCTCACATCAGCAATTTATCTTTCATTTAACCTTGTGTTTGCTCCTTTATATCATGCCAAATTAAATTTGCTGTCATTCCTGTCATGAAGTCTTTAATTTCTGATTCATGTTTGCATTCACTGCTAAGCTCCTTGTTGTTGTTTCTTGATAATGTAAAGTGTGAGCTTTTTTTTTATTTTAAACTTATAAAATTACAAACCAAGATATGCTGTAAACCCTGCTAAGACATAATGTGAAAATGTATCATTTAATATAGCTCATTTCGCTTGACTCTGTATTGCATCATTTAATAAACAATTTCCTCTGACTGTCATGTTTTGTGTTTTAAATTTTTTTTTTATGCTGGATTTTTAACATCTAGCTCTGTTGTTTTTGGACAGGCTGGCCTCTGCTAATGTCTGGTTCTGCCTGCTGCTTTTGCCAGCTTTTTTTCCATTCCTGTTTGCTGAGATCATATTGGCCTAAAATCCCTCAACACGTATGTTTTTCTAGATCGCCAAACAACCATCTGGTAAGTAATCGCAGATTGTGTGGATTCTTGTAAACCCCAAAACAATGTTGCCTAAGGCCAAAATTGGTGTTTACTCTCTTCTCACACTACAGTGCAAAACTAAGCTTTATACTGTACAATACAGTTTAGCTCAAATAAGTAAGGGTTAGGTTTTTTTTAAGGACAATCCTTGTATATCTCTTAAAAAATAAATTGACTGCCTCACACTTTTACAAACGCCGTGACTCCAGCTCTGTCTGTCCTTCCCCCATGAGCATGGAAAGGAAAAAAGTCACGTTTACAGACAGGGAAACCCTCCTTAAAGGGGGCATAACACACAGTTTCACCCAATCTCATGTTAATCTTGAGTACCTATAGAGTAGTACTGCATCCTTCATATCTCCAAAAAGTCTTTAGTTTGATCATATCTATAAAAGAAAGATACAGCTTTACGATTCTCTCCGGAAAAAGCCGAGCTCCTGGAGGCGCGCCGTGGGCGGAGCTAAAGAGGGGGGTTTGGGCTGCGGGGGGGGGGGGATGACAAGAGTGCGCGAAGACCGACACGATGATGGCGGATCCAAAGCGCAACTTTTGTTAATAAAACTTTAATTTATTCGTTTAATAGCCTATGAGTGTATTTATTGCTGGGTTTTCATTAAAAAAAAAATAACAATGAACCACAAATTAAGCATTCGTTTTAAATAAGGGAAAATACCTTATTTATTTGGGTTACAACGGCTATATCCATCTTATTCATTTTGTCAATGCAAGGTAGATGTTTAATATATGCAAATTTGCCATTGTACTATTTTATGGCTGATGTGTTTTAATTAATGAGATGATAAACCACAAACTAGATCGTTTTAAGGTAGCTTGAGGGGAAATCCATAGGCGATTTATTTGTGTTAAACACGAGTAAAACATATCCTTATTCATTTTGTTAATAAAAGTTCAAAGTTTAATGTTGTTGTTTTTTTCCGATTAATAATAATGAGCCATAAGCATGTATTTAAAGTAAGGGGAAAATCCAAAAACCTTACCTTTATTTGTGTTACAACGCGGGTACATCAGTCTTATTCAGTGGTGTAGCAAAGTCAGCCCTGCCATATAGGCTACTGAATGCAAACACAATTTTGGCACATCAGCCCAAAAAACAAACAAACGAAAAATAATAAAATAAAAAACAAAAAAAAAGTAAAAAAAATAGTGAGGGGATATTTGAATTATTTGTTAATAAACGAATGTTTTCTGAGTCAATGTTGCAAAAATTAATTTGATGAACCAGACTATCCATCCTCATTGGACGTGCCTTTAGAGAGAAATGCATCTTTGCGGATTATATAATGAATGAGTTTTTGTTTTCGATTTGAATTATTTCGTTTTAAAATAGTAATTTAAAGCATTCTATAGATATATTTATCATGTCGGTGAAGCGCTCCTGCGCAAGACCATGAGGACAGAAAGCGCATATCCTGTTTGTTTTCCTTATTTTAGAAAAGCACAAGGTTTTGTTGATATTGTGAGTGCACACAAATACAAGCAGACCCTTTGCAGTTCCGAATGATGTATACTCTTACCTTTATGAGCAAAAACAATGGCGTATTTTTAAGTTTTCGCTGTTATTAAAAATAAAATGCAAGTGATCGCGCTGGCGCCTCCATGTCCTGCAGCACGCTTTAGCTTCCACTCTCCGCGCAAACGATGGGATATGCACCTAACAGCGCTCAGTTATCTAGGTTAAATGTTTAAATTAATACTGTGAAATGCATTGAGAATGCGAGATTAGTTGCTGCTGAGGTAGACGCTCTCGCTCTTGCTCTGCTGTCTGTAGAAATTGTTGTTGATTCTTAATTTGGGTACGGCAGAGACATGTTACAGGTTATAATATAATCCAAAAATCATGGCAACAAATGATTTTTTAAGTCAGTTTAATCAGTTGAAACGACTTTCACAGTCAATTTGAACTCATATTTAACCGTTGCTTCTTGTCATTGTAGGCTTAGGCTACTTTTTTTAAATGGATTTGAATGAATATACTAATTAATAAAATGAATATTATTTATTTTTATTACATATTGTTCATTCATTTATTTTTAACACCGCACCCCCAGCACCCCCATTTTTTCGTGGGCTACACTCCATGGGTGCTGCAGCACCCTCAGCACCCCTACTTCCCGCGGTAATGATTGCACCCCCTTTAAGAAGGTTACGATGGTCGCGTCTCAAACCTAGTGCATGTCTGCACAGTGTTATAGAGAGTATGTTATCCAAATGATGTCTAAAATGCTGTCTAGATAGGCAGCTCACTGGGTATTGAGACCCGGACACTCTTCCAGCTGATCAAAACTCTGGAACTGGAAAAGCACATCTGAGACGTTTTTGTTTTACTCCACTCTGATACTTTCTATGAACAACGTCCATTGTTTATTTAGTGTATTATTGTTGTGTTTGTGAAAATAAAAGGCTTTCCTTAGCGTAACTAGACAAGTGAGTGGTAAGCGGCTCTGACTGAGTCGAGCTGTGAAGAGCGAGTCAGATTTTCCAATAGTTCATTTATGAGAAGCACGCGAGCTCCTTCTCTGTCTGCTGATCTACAGTAGTCTGACTCTGTAAGGTAAGTTTATCGGAAACTTTGAATAGTTTTAACATTTTAATGTCAAATGCTTTTGCTTCATTTGTTATTTGTAAGCTCAAAAGCAAAAACGCGGTTTTAAAGGAATTTTCCTCATAAAACGTTTCAACGCAGACGGCGACAGAATTCGACGAAGTATTTAGTCAACAGTTGCTTTTTTAAATTCATAAATTAAAAACTAGTTTGTTTTAGAATTTCCTCCGTGTGAGGTGGGTTTCTTTTTGTTTGTTTGTTTCCTACACTAACTTTAGGTCGGTCTTGACTCTTGAATGAGAACAGTAAACTAATAAAACGATGCATGTAAACACGTTTGTTTCGATGTTACTTTCTGCTGTCCCGGCGTTACAGCGGTTTTGTCCGATTCCCTAGAAAAGTGTACATTCTGTGGCACTATCAAAATGACTTTGTTTGAGCATCCCCACCAGCTCAACATAATAGAAATGGTTCGACCTACCTCTTTGTCTGACCAACTGGAGGAATGTTGAGGAAATGTATTTGAAAGCAATCATTATTTTGCAATTAATTACTATAATCAAAAACATGATAAATAACTATTCATGGGGTCCTTTTTGGGTCTGTTTCTTGGTGGAAACTTTATACAGTACATTTAGCAGATGTCAGAATACTAAAACATCAAGAACACAGTTAAACTCCTTGTACTACAATATTATTCTAATAGATTTTACACCACCTGCTGTTTGCCATAATCATAAATATATAATGTATCAAATAAAAGCAATAAATTAAAAATATGACACCATTAATATTCTCTATAGCAGTGGTTCTCAATATTTTTGACTCGCCTTATGAAATAGACTGCATTTGCAGGCTGTCCTATGTAATCTAATAGGTATTTATGTTGTATTTTTTGTTTTTATTTGAATTAAGATTGTTAAAATAACTAAATTAATCATTTTAAGACTTTTTGGGACAGTTTGCTGAGGCCACTTGGTTGAGAACTGCTTACTCTATACATACGAATAATTTAAGACTGTTTCGTAAACTAACAAATTTCATACTTTTTAATAGGTGAAAATACTGTTTTTTTTCCCCCATAAATGTGCAGACTCCTCATAGTGCAGCATGCTAGAAAAAGATATAAAATAACCCCAAGGATATAGTGTGACCCAAAAATGTAGTTTATTATTTTTTTCAAAGTCATCCTGTCTTTATTAAGCATTGTATTGAGAACCTGTTATATGCATCATATGCTTACAAAGTCAGGAATATGGGTTTAATACACTAAGCTCACATGGTGCAAGGACAGTTAACTAAAATCTCATTCTTTCAATACTGTTTACTGTTTGTCCAATATCACCAGTATGCTGTTGCTCCAGGACACAATGAGAAGCACTTGTTTGTCCTGGTGCCTTTTCCTGCTGTTTGTCTGGTACCCAGCACGCAGCATAGTGACGGCGCTTGAGCTGGAGGATTCGGACCGGGACTGGGGTTCTGGATTACACGAACTCCTAAGCAGCTTTCCAGCTGATAGTCCATTTGTCAGAGAGACGCCCGACAAGCCTGCCAACTGCACTCAGCGCTTCTGGCTTCCTCCATCCTCCCCTGTGTGCTGGGATGATATAGCGGGTCCAGAGGAGTTTGAGAAATCACGCCTTCTCGTGCTGCAGAACAGGGCAGCACTGCAGGCTGTATCCACATCTAGTGGTCTCGAGGAAGGGGGTGCATCCTATGATCAACAAGCCAGGGAGAACATGCAGGGCGTCTGGGCTGACCATCTCGCTGTGGCCCAGACCGCCGATACAATGCAGAAGGTGTTCACAGATTTGGATGAGAAGAGGAAGGAGGGGGAAGAGCATTATACCTTCTCAAGGTAATTTAGTTATTTTGAATGCTTTCATGGAAGATATATTTGTATATATTTTATACTGTATATATATTATATATATTTATTATATGTATTATGTATTTTCTACTTAATTTTACTATAAAGTCGCCTTTTCACTATCTCCAACAAACGACTGTCATTCACTTCTGATGCCGAATAGTATGGGAGCTGCGTGCACTTCTCAACATTTATACGGAATTTTCTGACCCATTTGAGCTTTGGGTGCATTGAAATATTTGAACTTTTGTGACTAGACTGTATATGACTGCCTGACAGGATGTGATGTATTGTCTACTTAAAATTATGAGTGCAAGGTGAGAATTACTAATATTTTTACATTAGAACGTTAATCTTTAAACACTATTTCTGTAAAATGGGCAGTTATGAATAATTTAAACATATTGGCGGTCTTTTGTTTTGTGTGGATATATTTATATATTCATTATTCATTTTACCATGGTGAATAAGTGAAGAGTAACAGCTGATTCATGACTAAATTGAAAATTTCATATGCCTACTCACTTTTTCAGTGGTCTTGTTTTCGAAAGTATTTTTCCCATTCATTTTCCCCAAGCATTTAAAAAAAAAAAACTTTGTTAAAGAGTTATAAGCCAACCAGCTATGAGTTATTAACACTACAATCTTTGATTTAAAGAAAAAGTGTTTGGAAATCAGAAAAAGAAACAAGACTATGCAATTAATTTCTTTAAAGAACTTCAATTCAATTGACTTATTGGAGTAAGGCACTAAAGAGTTATTTTGGCTGAATTTGCCTAACATGATTTTTGGATTTGTGAAGATTTTTTTACAGAATCATGGGTAATGTAGTTTTTCCCACCAAGAGTTCCACTGTTAAACACAATTGTTTAAAAAATAAGTTGAAATAATGCAGGCTGCTGGCTTCAACAAAAGCATAAACCATCATCAGTTAACAACCTCGCAGCTCACAGAATGCCTGTCTTTAAAGGTTTACAAGTGATCATTAAAAATCTATTTCTCTGTTGAGAAAATTTACTTTACTTCCAAGAATCTGACTGTTGCAGAGATAGTGGAAAGGCAGCACATGATTACAAAATGTCAACACAGGTTACTTTCTTCGGAATCAAAATTCAGAAAATGAATTATTTTTTAAACACATGCCACATTTTTCTCTCTCTCTCTCAGTCTGAAGGAGCCCATTGAAAACACGAAAGACTCCATTGCTAAAAAGGAACAAGTAGCAGCACTTCTAGAGAAACATCTTGCCAATCTGGAGAGGTCTTTGAACACTATGCAACTTCGACTGGCCAAACTGCTACCCCAGTAATTTAATCTGAGCAACACAACCTACACATGTGGAAAATAATATAATGCATGTTTATTATTACATTTTATCAAACAAATAAGACTTGTATCACCATATACTGCATGCCAACAGCACCCTGTATTTCTCTTTTGGTACGTATTTTAAGTAAATGGGATAAATATTAGGTACTGGCAATAAATTATATTTTTATACCTCCAGGCTATAGACTGTTCCCTAAAAACGTAAGGTACAATTATATTACATTGGATTTGTCTGTCATAAAAAAACAACAGCAACAGTTCACTTTCAGATGTTTTGCATGTCATAAGCCCCTTTTGCACAGTAAATTGCCGTAAAATTACAGGAACGACTTTACCGTAAATACGAAAATGCTTTGTTCACACAGGCAACAATATTCCGTCTTTTTACCGGTAAAGCACCATTCACACATCAGTTTCAAAATACCGGTAAATATTGTGACATCATTAACCGGAAACGACCTGTAAACGGCTGCACCTCCTGGTCTTTTTGTAAACATGGAGTGTTTTTGTTGGTTTTAATTTTTGTGTCAAACGTTCACATTCCTGCAGCTGCTTTTGCCCCAGACACATCATATTAGACGACTTAAGACATTTCTTTGACGTCAGTAAACAGCGTGGAGTAAATGCTTCATCTGCGTCAGAATGTTATGATTGGCCCAGAGTAGCGCGTCTACTCGTATGTGCTCATACCGGTAATCTCATTCTGCATTCACACAGAGCACTTTACCACCGATCATTTACTGATAATATTACAACTTCTCATACCGGTAAATTGCCAGAATGAAATTACTGGTATTTTTCAAAAGGTCCTGTTCACACATGATCTTTTAACGGTAATTTACCAGTAAAGACTGAATGTGTGAAAGGGGCTATAGATTCTGACTGATTGCCATATTAAAAATAAGATTATAGTGAACACATAATCAGCAAATGTATTTATTCAAATACAAAAACCAAACTGTTCAAGCATTTAAAAACGATACAGTACACTATATAAATCTTCAGCTGCAGTCCAAAGTCAAGTATGAATCAAATGCATTTTTATCCTCAGTGATTAAAATGTTAAAGCATGGCCATGAAATATACCTCCAAAATACATTTTAAACCCTGAGAAAAACATTTTCAATTTTTAGACATATGAGCAAGGTCTGATTTCACATTGAATGGAATGGACTGTATAGATGTTTGGATCTTTCCGAAACATACAAATCATGGTGTCAAGCAGTAATAAAAGAACAATGATGCATGACAAAGCACCATATATCCTGGTTTCCAGTACTCACAGTGGTTCAGTTGTGAATCTGCAGTGGCTACAGACATTTTGACACACAGCATAGTGTAAGTGGGTGCTAAAACATGCAGACTACATTAAGTAAAACATGTAAAACACCTCTCTAAAACAACAGAGGTGTAAAAGTACAACTCTTTGGGTGAAATGTCCTGATGTGTAAGACAATGTCCTATGATTTTATCCACTGTTTTAGTGAGGAAGTGGTCAGGACCAGTTCACAGTGATTTCCTCCGACTTGCTATACATCACTACAGGTTGTCATCATCTTTTTTCATTTCTTCTAGTGACTTTAGATAGTCTCTGGCCAAGATTTTCTTAGGAAGGATATCTAAAAATAGAAGAGACAAAACTGTTTACACACCAGTTGATTTAGTTTGCATAGTGTGAATAATAACAAATGGCCAGGACTCACCGGTTAAAAACTGAAATGTTTCCTTCTCCTCTGCTGCATTGGCCAGATCACTGTATGACAGCGTGTTCGTCTCTTTACCCGAACCATTTTTATATGAGGACAGAGCCAAGTGCTGGACAAAAAGCTCCTATGAGGAAGTTGTGAAAATATCACATTAATATAAACATAAGGCAATGATATACAATGAAATATACTGTCGGAGCCGTTCTCTTGTACTCCAGTGCGAGTATTTTTTTTAATAAATAGAACTATGAACATTCGTTTTGCTATTATTGTTGGGAATGTGTTTTTAAACTAAAAGCTAACTGATATCACAGATATTTCTAGTGACTAAAACCAAAACACCTTTTCAACTAAGGCAGATAACCTGGCAACTGACCATGATTAATAGCACATCAAATTACCGTTGCTTTTGTTGTCAAGAAAAGAGCGTCCTGGTTAATACAGGACACATCGGGAGAACTTTTCATGATTAATCGCACCCTCGACATAGGCAGAGACACATTTTTACTGTTTGTAGCGTGCTCAACTTTCTCTTCCATGTTTTTTTCAGACATGTTCTGTTAGCAGCCGCTTAAACGTAACGGAAGTAAATCTAAAGGCTTTCACAGAGACGTCACTGGACGACGGTCACATGGGAATTGTAGTTTTATGACGAATTGTTTGTGGTCCTTCCTTCGAGAATTTTATATTTTTCATCAATATTTCATAAAGCAGTTTGAAATCGTGAATAAAATACTTTTTCATCAGAGAAAATCAGAGAAAAAGTGACAATATGTTTTTTCTTTTCATTGTTATATTTCGTTTATTAGTAAAAGTCAACTGCTGTAATGCAGAGAGCATCAGTTAAAATAACTGAATATTAAATTATATAATAAAATGTTATATATATATATATATAATTGTATTGTAATATATATATATATATATATATATATATATTGTTCAATAAAAATAACATTACATTTAAATAATAAATATAATGTCATATTGTTCATATTTTAACATTTGAATGCAACATAACTTAATAAAAAGCTCGATTTATCCTTTCTTTTATAAACTGTTAAAATTATTGCAATTGTATGAAAGTATTTATAGTTTTCAAATGTCATTTTAATTTGCTTTTTTTTTTAATGCGACAAAATCAGGCGACAAAAATGCAAACTGTCCGCATAGTAATCGTTAAATTGGCATAAACTACGTTTCCCAAAATACCAGAGTTGTTTTTGTCCTTCTCGACCGTAGTTGGGCGTTTGCGCTTTACAGATAACAAATGAGCTTGGCAACGGTGTTTACTACAGTCTTCAGGACTGCATTACCCACAATGCACTGCTCATCGTTGTCAAAAGTCTTGCTCTCTTGGGTCACTTATCGAACTCCTGGCCGTGTCAGCCTGCGTACTTTCTCTTATTTGACGGAATAATGCATTTTTCAGGCGCAGGCCTTGCGGAAATAGGGCACGGGCAGGGGCCCGGAGCAGGACCAGCGCCTGGAAGCTGCAATCCGCGTAAATTCAGCGAGAAAATCGCCCTGCACAATCAGCGACAGGCTGAAGACACAGCCGCTTTCCGAGAGGTTATGATGGACGTTACTTCCATCAGGGTGAGTCTAACTCAATACAGGACATGTCAGGCTCATTTACGACAGTTGTCATATATTTGACCTGGATTCTGGATTATTCTGTTATAAAGTGTTTGCAGCGGAAGGGAGTGCTTAAACTTTCAAATGTTATGTGCGTTATTAGTGTCTGTTTTATTGATTCCTGACAACTGGACAGCTTTAGGTACAGCTATTTGCTTTTCTTGGGAGTGCGATTTCAGAAACAAAAAAACAATTAGAAAGTAAAAAAACAAAACAACAACTGTAAACACTCTCTTTGTACCCATTAACTTTGTTTCCCCAGTTAAATGAGCATATGTATTCACACGTGCTTGCCTTTTTTTAAAATATTAATAGCAATAAAATTGTGTATTTTATTCCTGGACTGAATTTTAAAGGTCCCATGGCATGAAAATTTCACTTTATGAGGTTTTTTAACATTAATATGAGTTCCCCTAGCCTGCCTATGGTCCCCCAGTGGCTAGAAATGGCGATAGGTGTAAACCGAGCCCTGGGTATCCTGCTTTGCCTTTGAGAAAGCTCAGATGGCCCAATCTGGAATCTTCCCTTTATGTCGTCATACGGGGAAAGGTTACCTCCCCTTTCTCTGCTTTGCCCGCCCAGAGAATTTGGCCCGCCCATGAGAAAATGAGCTACTACCGTGCGAGGCGAGCGCAATATTTTTTTTTTCCTCAAGAGACATCATGGCTTGCAAACGAGCGAAGCATGGCAGTTGCCCCGCCTCTCTCCTCCTCATTAGCATTTAAAGCTACAGACACAGAAATGGCACGTCCTAAGGAAAGCTCATTGTGGGACTGGCTCGTAGTGGCTGAAATTCTGCACCAAGGCTGAATTTCGGGAAAGAGACTTCAGATACAGTACTAGGGACCACTTAGGCCTATATAAAAGCATCCAAAAAGAAGCATGTCATGGGACCTTTAACTGGATGACCAACTACTCATTTGGTCCATATGATCCAACAGAAAGTTGCAAACAATAAAGTAACAATTACATCAGGCAGTTGTGGGGGAAAATAAATAATAATCCATATTTAAATGCATATATCTTTGTACTTTTACTCTGTTTGATGTAATGTTACTTCAAGCTCTAAAATTGTATAATGTGAATCAATTAGTTACTTATTAAAAATAGGGCTCTGTTTACATGTGACCATGACTTGTATGAGATAGAAATCTTCATAATACATAACAATAGACCCATGACATATTATATGTACTAAATATGGTAGTTGTAACTGAATTATTATGTTTTATGGAGCTTGGACACAGACATCTGAATTAAACAGTTCTGGCCATGTAACTATTTACAACAGCTGTTTAAAAAGATGTTCACATGAAAATAAGACAGTATGAACTTTCATATACGTTTTTTTTAGACTCTTCAAAATCAGAAGTACATGACAAATGTGTTGGGATTAAATTGGATTTAGGAAGTATTTTCCCATCTGTATATGGCCTTGTGATTCTGCAGGTCAACGTGGATTATGTCAATGCACATAAATAGCTTTGCCAGTCACTCATCTAGGGTCTGTTTCTCATCAGTGTTGCAGACGGAGGGGTCTGTAAATCTCAGTTACAATGTCTGTTTTAAATAATATTGAAACAGGCATTTGTTCCCTTGAGGGTAAAGCAGTCTGGGAGAGAGTGGGACGAGATTTGCGTTTAACTCAGTGTTGGATGGTTATTGTTACTATTATTGAGGTTGCATTCCCTCCTCAGGTTCAGGCTGAGAGAATCCAGCAAACCAGAGGCGTGGTCCCGTACTATGGAGGATCGCTGCCAAATGTCAATCAGATTTCAAGATGCTCCACAGAGACCCAGGTGTGGGATTTTGATTGTATTTTCAGTATTATTATCCTATCCTTTTAAATAAAGGAGAAATGAGCAGAAAACTAAAAATATGTTTTTTTTCTTTTTTTAAATGTCAGGTCTTTTTGTTTGAATTAATTTCATTTGATTTGCTTTTCTTATATTTACAGCACCCAAGTTATCTCACCCAGCAGCTCCTAGAGGCAGATGAAGAGTACAGAGACGTCCAGCCCAGTCCCCTTGGCAGACTGCACAGGAGACATGTATCCTCACTTTAAAAATGGCTGATAGTCTTACAGATTCATGTTTATAGTAGTATGAAAGGAATATTGCAACTCCACAACTCTTAATCTTTATAATAGTGGTGCTTTAGTCTTGTTTTGTACTTATAACTGGCGTTGGTTAATAAATGTGTGCACAAACAATGATTGTATATAAAGAACAGTTATGTTTAATAATTAAAATTTTTGCCATCATAAAAAAAAGTATGATTTGCAGGGCAGGAAAAGCTTTTTTCTTGGTATGCGTTTCATTTAACTTGATTATAATCTTTTTTGGAAGCATTACAGTAGTAAGTACACTACTGATCAATTGTTTGGGGTTAGTATGATTTTTTGTTTATAAAGAAATTAATACTTTTATTCAGCAAGGACACATTAAATTGATCTGTAAAGACATTTAGAATATTACAACAGATTTATATTTAAAATAAATCCTGTTCTTTTGAACTTTCTATTCATCAAAGAATCCTAAAAAAAAAAAAGTCTCACAGTTTCCACAGAAATATTAAGCAGCACAACTTTTGATACTGATCAATGTTGATAATAATAAGAAATGTTTCTTGAACACCAGATCAACATAATAGAATGATTTCTGAAGGATCATGTGACACTGAAGACTGGAGTAATGACTGCTGAAAATTCTGCTTTCCATCACAGGAATAAATTACATTTTAAAAGATATTAAAATAGAAAAGTTATTTGTAGTAATTGTAATAATATTTCACAATATTATTGTTCTTACTATGTTTAAAAAAAAAAAAAAAAATCCAACTATGGTGAGCATTAAAGATGTCTTTCCAAAAAAAGAAAAAAACATATTCTTACTAACCCTAAACCTTTCAACTCTAATAATCAATAATCTAATAAATGACTTAAAATAAAATGCTTACACAGTAATCATGAACAGTTGTAGAATTCATGAAAATTTGTTAGTTGAAGCCAAAATGCTTAACTTAAGCCTTAACTTCATTTTACAGTTTGATAGTGCTCCCTATCTCTCTACCCACCTCTCTCCTCCTCGAGGTCCTACCTGGAGAAGGTACGATTATAAATAAAGTGTTCTCAAATCTACCACAATCACCACATTGCATTTAGGTGCTAAACAATCATGTCATTTTCATAATGAAGTCACCATCAGATGTAATGATGAACTCCCTGAGCTTTTGTTTGTGCCAGTACTTTAATTAAGTGTTGCTTGTGTCCAAGCAGAAACTGGTCCAGTTGTTCTGCCACTGAGAAGAGCCAGATGGTCTGTCTTCCTCTGACAGCTCTTAATAGGTAAACACAGAACTCATGAGTGTTCAGACTGCTGATCCGAGATCAGCTCTTGTGCATAGTCAATCATTTTATTTATCGAGCCAATTGATCTCCCTAATTGGGGAGGAACATTCTTATTCTGGAAGATTTAGAGAGTCACCCTGTTTTCACCCATTTCTAATTCTGTTCATCCTCACAGAACCAACTCTGACTCAGCCCTCCATACCAGTGTTCGAAACACCCAGTTGCATGGCCACCCGAAATCTGTCCAAAATCTGAACCATATATCTAGACACCGTGGTGAGTTGAGCTGTTTCGATGCTGGATTTTAATAAATAGGTATAAATCGCATTTTCAAATATGTTAAAAAAGAAAACAGTTAATTAAAATTGTAACAATATTTCCCAATATTACTGTTTTTACTGTATTTTTGATCAAATCAGTGCCTCGGTGAGCATAAGAGACTTCTTTGAAAAACGTTTACAAAATCTTACTGACCCCAAACTTTTGAACGGTAGTATAAGTGCAGGCAAACACTTAATGTAAAGATTGTTTCATATTTTAACATAACATGAAAATATTAGTATTTTGTCTTAAATTACCTGCTTATTTTAAATTAAACTGATTCTTTAAGGGTTTGCAC